TAAGCAAAGTGTTAGGGTAACCAAGAAAAGAAAGCAATTAATGACAACTGCTGAGCCTGGGAAGGATGTCATGAAGTTGGGACATGTGAGCTAAGTCTTGAGATGTTGGATGGAAGTGAGAGAGAACAAGCAGGCATGACCAGTGGGATTTGGCAACTGAACAGAAATGGGGTGTGAAAGACACAAAAGTGGGATGATATCCAGGCTTCTGGCTTGGACAGTTAATTTGAAAGAAGTACCATAAACATGGCATCATGTTTTATAAAGATCCTGGAAGCTTTCAAGCAGAGAAGGAGTTGATAGGAGAGCATCTGGAGACAAGGAGGCCATTCCAGCAATCCAGGTAGGAGACAATGGTGGGAGGGGCTAGGAGGGAAAGCATGGAAAGGATAGAGGAAGGGAAATGCACAACAATCCCACCAATAGGCATTATTGTCCCATTTTAAAGATGGGGCAAGTAAACTGTTCTAAATGATTCATAAAATTATTAGCAAGCGATGGAGCCGAAATTAAAATTCAAGTCTGTCTGACTCCAGAGTCACTCCATACTACTACCTGAAGGCAGACACACCACAGAGGCAGAAGCAATGGGACTTGGTGGTTGGTCAGCAGTGTGGGGAGAAAAACATAAAGGCGTTAAGACAAAGGCAAGGCTTCCAACCTGAGCAACTAGATGGAAAAAGAAAATGTTAACCGAGACAGCTGATGCCAGGGAGAGAAGGAGATTTGGACTTAAGATTGACATGGGGTCAGCTAAGAATAGATCTCAAGTCTTTGGGGGAACAAGTAAATTTTAAGCATCAAGGAGCTATCATAGGCATCATAGGGATGACTTTCTGACTTGGTCAGGCTCAGTGTTGAGGTTCAGGGCTGAACTGAGAGACAGAGTGGTGTGGTAGAGTTGTGTTTTTATCCAGGGTCTACATCCTGTCCTAGTTACTTACTGGCTGAGGACCACGGGCATGGGACTTAATCACACTAATCTGAATTTCTTCATCGGGAAAGTAGAGAAAACAAGCCCTGACTGGACACCACCCGAATGTGGTGTTTCAGCTGGCAAAGCAGATCTGTTTGATTTCTTCATAAAGATGATCCCAGAGATGTGCATGCCAATCAAAAATAACATAGAGCTTTCTTTTATATGTCCTGTTAAGATTTGTTTGTTATTATTTTAACAAAATATGGTATCTTGTAGAATCTATTTCCCCCTTCTCTTATTAGTCCTGTCAGTTCAGCCTCACATGAGGTTGGGCGAATACTGTGTTCAACACTGTCTTTCCATTTGTTCAGAGTCTCAACTTCCAAAGCCTCTTTCCCCTCCCTCAAGGGTTCAGGGTTTTTGGGTGACCCCACTCTCACCATCCCCACAATTTATCCATTCCATACTCAGTGAGCACAGACTCTGCTACATAATCTGTGTTAAGTCCTAAGGCTATAGAGATGAATAAAACCTAGGTCCCTGGCTTGACACTGATCCCTCAGTGTGACTGCCTTTCTTCTGGACACTTCTCTCACTCTTGTCCTCTACTCAGGAAGCATTTGTACTTCTTTCTGTACTTCATCTGGGGGTAAGAAAAGCTTTGGCCCTAGACAAGGGATTTCCAACTCTACCAAGCAGATGAGAGGCAGAGCAGGGGTGAGGGTGGTCTGAGAAAAGTTTTACTCTGTTCCAGGTATTTTATAGATGTTATTATATTCAATTCTCACCATAAATATAGGAAGTAGATATTAATCAGCCCATTTTACAGATGATGATCCTGAGACTTAAACAGATTACATTATTTGCCCAGAGCCACATAGTTTAACAGAAGAGCTGGGATTCACACTTAGCTTGGCTTGACTTTAAACTCAGGCTGTTCCTATTATGTCATGTCTCCCCTCTTCATTCTGGCCCTGATGCCCCATTAGCCACAAGGTAAAGGACTTCTCTAGTGTTCAGAAGGCAGGAACTTAGAGGAAGAATTCTGAACAAGAAATGAGGGACATAGTAGGCTTAGTTCACATAACCCAGAAGCAGGTAGTGATAGGGAACTGGAGCTAGATTATCTGCTTGGGGCCAGTAACCCAGAGAGATCAGGATGGGCCCAGCAAATGACCACCCTGCCGAGATTGCAGGGGCCCTGGATGATCTAGAAGCCTCTGTATGTCAAGTGATAAATGGGCCCCTTGCCTAAACTCCACTCTCTGGAGGGCTCTGGAGTGGCTAGAAGAAAGTCAGACAGGTGTGTGGGAATGAGGAAGAAGGCAGGGCTTCAGCAGTAAGTGCTAAAAAGTTCTGAAATCATTACACATTCTCCCCAGCCTGTGACCTTAACATGCTTCCTTCCCCTCTGCCTATCCCCTGCCACCTCTAAATGATGCCATTTTTTGTTTACTTATTATTCTGCTTTAACCTGTTTCTTAGTTTGACCTGATTTTACCTGGACACAAATGGAGAAGGCCCAGCCCAAAGTAGTGGAAGGGGAGCAGTGTTTGAATCTAGGTTCTCACTGGCCACATGACTGTTAAAAAAAAAAAAAAAAGGTTTTTACCTTTAGGATTCTCATTTTTTCTCATCTTGGAAATGTAGAACATGATACTTACCTTATGTGACTGTTGGGAACATTGAATGAGGCAATAGATACAAAGGCATCTAGCACAGCACCTTACACACAGTATATGTTCGATAAACATTTGGATGTATGAATCGATGCACAAGTGTTAATCAGCCCACACTTCCACAGTTGGCTCTGATCTAACTATGTAGAAAAATGAGTTGGGTTTTCTAAAGCAGGTCTCAGGTATTTCAGTTGAGTTGCAGTGAAAGGATACTAGTTATTTCTGTGCTTACTGCCCCTGCCCCCATTTAAAAGGCAATAGAAAAAGCTTCTGGATGAAGGCTTACTGCTGCTGCAGCAAAGCAAACAATATCATCACCAGCCTCCTCTGCTGCGGGCTTAGCAACGAAGAAGCTGGGTAACCTCCAGTTTGTCTGATGTAGCTTTGAGGGTAAACAGACTTTTAGTCCTGTCTCTGCACCTCTGAACTAATATAGACCAAAACCAGCACTGCATCATTATAGAGAGTTGTGTAAGATCCAGGTAGAGACCTGGCATGATCCCTCTCCTCATCTCTGCTTTTTGCATAGTTGTCTGTTTCCTCCTCAGAAATGTACAGAACGTTGGTTTGGTGGCCAGCTCCACCTACCTGTGGCTATAATCTGAGACACACTTGGCTAGACAAGAAGATAGGCTGGCGCGCCCCCTGCTGGAGACAGGTGGCCCAGTAGCTTCTGGCTGGTTGTACGCCTCCTGGTGCTGTCCCCCATCTCAGTGCTGAAAACCTTTTCCCTCTAGCTTGAGGTCATAGATATAACCTTGCCCAAGAAAGCTAAGGAGAAGCTCAGCAGGCCAAGACCACACAGAAGGATGCTGACAACCCTTGGTCTCTTGCTTAGCCCTTTTTTGTGCTCTGACAATGTGGAAAAGCAGACAGTCCTCTTGCAAACACACCCTACAGGTTGCCTTATAGCCAGCTTTTTCTTTCCTCTCTCTCAAGGAATGGGAAATTTCATCAGAGTCCATATGCTGTAATTCAGAAACAGTCAATATCACTGTGTCTAGCATTAAATAATATACTGTGCAGTCCATTTCCTGACATCCAGAAATGTAACATCCTGTCTCATGTCATTTTAGTCCAGAGAAATGACATGAGGTGATGTTTCAGAGCATCCAGCTTCTAACCCAGAATCCCCCTGGAGAATAAGCTGCCTCTATTTCCTCCCAGACAGATGTTCATTCAGACTCTTCTTGCACACACCTGTGGTGATGGGGAGTTCATGGTCTTCCAAAGGAACCTATCCAGTGACTGGCAACTCTATTCACTAGAAAGTTTTCCTGATCCTGTACAGAAATCTGTCTTACTGAGACTCACTCCCAGGATTTGGTTATTACCTCTGGGCAACACAGAACATGTTTGCTTCTTTTGTCCAATAATGTCCCTTTAACTTTTAGAGACTGTGATCGTTCTTTCCAAGTCCCACTCCCTCTTATTTATTTATTTTTGAGACAGAGTCTCACTCTGATGCCCAGGGTGAACTGCAGTGGCACAATCTTGGCTCACTGCAGCCTCCATATCCTGGGTTCAAGCGATTCTTCTGCCTCAGCTTCCTGAGTAGTTGGAACTACAGGCACGTGCCACAATGCCCAGCTAACCTTTGTGTTTTTAGTAGTGATGGTTTTACCATGTTGGCCAGGATGGTCTTGATCTCTTGACCTCATGATCTGCCCGCTTCAGCCTCCCAAAGTTCTGGGAGCCACCACACCTGGCTTCCCTTTTATTTTTTATTGAAAAAAATAAACTGCTCTAGTCTCCTCATTCCTTTCTAATGGGGAATGATTTGCAGACACCTCACTGTCCTAGCCACATTCAAAATGATCACAGTTACCATTTAGTGAGCACAAATACTTTTGCTGACATTTTCCACACCAAGTTTCTTTAAAACTTGCCTAAGATTGCACAGTTTTAAATAAATAGAAGTAGGGTTTGAATGCAGAATTAGAACCCAAAGTTGCCTGGCTCCAAGTTTTTACTCTTTAATCATTATCATATCTGCTGTTTGTGTAGTCTATGATCCAACTAATCAGCGTAGTTAGAAACATATGGGCCAGTATAAAATCACAACATGGAAGTGACCTGGACAAGGAAACATAGATCCAGACTATCATCTCTCTCATTTTATGCAGTCTGCCTCTTGTCATTCTATCTAAAATGAAGCTGTCATTTCCAAAAGGCTGACACACTCTTGGTGCATGCCAAGCTGCCTGCAGTCAATTAAACTCCCCAGGACTCTGACACAGGAACTGCTGGAAATTCAAGACTTGACTGTTCTCCCTTATTTTGATAACAGAGTCCCTGACCTCAGAGTCAGCTTATACCAATTTTTGGGTTTGCCTGTTGGTTCTTGAGCAGTGGGAGACCTAAAGGAAAAGGTGCCAAGAATGCTCAGAGGAACAGAGGAGTTGCACAAAACACTTTATTTGTGTTCCTCTGGGCAAAATGAACCCAGGGGAGAAGCTGTATATACAACATGACATTTTTGGCCAATCAATGTATGGCTCTTTGCTATCATTTCTGAAAACTTACATGCAAAGGATAAGTTTTGCTTTTGATTTTTGTAGCAAACTTCAATAATCTCCAACCCAAACAAACACACAAAAATGCTTAAGTGGAGCTTTGTGCTAAGGGCTTTGTCTCCCTGGAGCCTCCCTGCCTCTCCCTGTCTCCTAATCCTCATTTCCGGGAGGTCATTTTAATTAGCAGGCTGTCATGGTTACTAAGCTTGCTGCTTCCACAGACAGGAAGGGAGCAGACTCCCCTGGACCCATTCATCATACAAAGGCACTTTACTTTGCACAAAAATGCACAATATTTAGCTTGTGCCATATTTTGGGAATTGCTACTACTGTTTTATTTTATCATTTTTACCTGCCTCACGGTGCATCCTTCTGTCTTTTGTGTCTTCCTTGCCTGAATCACCCTTTCCTCATTGCAGATTAGCAATGCCCACATCTTCAGGGGCCAGGCTGAATCCCTGTCACCTGGGATCTGGAAACCTTAACCATAATAAACCTTTTAAAATGAGTGACCAGTGTTTTTTGTCTTTGGAGCTAAAATTTTAATTAAACTACCCAGGAAATTGGGAAATAGTTCTCTGAACCGTTTTCTAAATTTACATGCTAGAGTCTGAGGGAATCCGAAAGCATGCAGTTTAGATACAGTGACCATATATTTAAGTACACCGTGATTTCAAAAATTCTGTCCCATTGTTTCCTAAGATATATTTGCCTTTCGGTAGCATGTGGTGTTGCTGTAGTTTAGGATCAGAAAATACAAACACTGCCTTTCTAAAACTGTAAACAACCCAGCAACCAAGCCTATTTAAAAGGTAATCATCTGCAGTAACTATAAAACTTTAAAACAATAAAATGGCTTTGAAAGAACTGATCGGATATGTGTCAGATCTCTTAAAAGGGATGTGTAGGTTTTCCTCATCTTGGAAGATCTCTATGTTGTAGAAAATAGCATCTGTGCTCACCTGGTTCCAATCTCCTATTTTGTTCCTGAGCTTTGAGCTGAAGGCTTACAATTGATTTTCCATTGGAAAAAGGGAAAATCAATGATGAAATTTCTTATTGTATCCCTTCCCTTTCACTAGCCTTTGCGTTAATCCACAAATCCTTGTCTTGGAAGCTAGAGAAGAGTGATTAATTTCTTTCCCCAGCAGAAAATGCATGCTCCTGTCTCCATAGGACCTCCCAGGACTCTGTGTCTTTAAAAAGGGGTTGAAGGGTCTTTGTGGTTCACTGAGTTCTTCTTGTCCCCTTTGCCATTGGGGTATTTGCTGGCCGGGCCCCGCAGGAGTGGGTGCTTGTAAGAAGGGGATTTTTCTTTCCTGCAGAGGGGGAGATAACAGAGAGAGAGAGGACAGCACATATACACACTGTGATGAAATCATTTGTGTGCATGTCTATCTTCCCCACTGGACTGTAGCCTCCCAGGAACAGCAGCCTAGTCTTCTCTGTATCCTCAGAACCCGGCACACTGGCTGGTTTAAAGCAGGCTCTGTGGCTCCATGAATACTGTTGATGGATGGATGGATGGATGGATGGATGGATGGATATATTGTATTACTGTTGTTCTGGAGAAAAGTTAACTATCCTTCAGCTCCAACTCTTCTACCTTTCCACCCTGATTGCAACTCATTCAACCCATTCCACAGTGGGATGGGAATGCACACATAGAAGAGCTATAGGCTGGGAGGACCTAGGACCTCATTCTCTTCATAACCACAATGAGCTTCAGAGTCTGTTTTGTAGTCTGCAGCATAACCAAAATGATGGCATTTCATAATGTCTGTCTCTCCAACAAGCTTGGGGGCTCTTGGAGAGCAGAGCTGTATCTTGTTCATCTCTGTGTCCCAGCACACAGCACACAATGCAACACTCTTAAAACCACAGTTGAGTACCTGTGAGCAAGGATGAAGTTTAATTTATTTTTGCATTTCCCCTTATATAGGGTCTTGTTTGATTGTTATGTTTCTGACTAATAAATTGGGGTGACATTCAGTCACTGGACTCAGATTTATTTGCAGTAGAAAGAGTAGGCGTTAGAGCCAGAAAGAACTGAACTGAATTCCCAAGTTGATTATGTATGAGAGATGTGACCTCAGGCAAGTTATTTAACTTCTCTGAGCTTCATTTGTAAAATGGAAATACAATATTCCAATGTTGTGGTGCTGTTGTGAGGTTAAGTGAGATATTATAACTAAACACACCTAGTGTCTTCTTTCCCTACTGTAATTTATGAGGTATTGTGCTAAGTGGTAGGTATGGTCCTACAGACACTTAAGGTGACAAAGATGATGAGCAGACGTTGTTGCTGTCTTCAAGTGGCTTATAGCTTAGGAGAGGAGATAATGGCATACAGTAACTACACAAAACAATAACTATAATCTGTGTCAGGAAGTGGTGAGTGTCATAAATATGAGAATCTCTTGAGCTAAGTTTGAATTTGGATTGAAGAAGTGGCTTTTGTAACCCATCAAGCTCTGACCTTGGTGCACCCATTTTTCTTCATTGTTGACGAGTCATGAATAAGGTAAAGACAGAGTAGGTGACAGCACATAAAGGGACGCCTTGCCCTAACCGCCCCCTCAACCAGGAAGCCTCACTACCTGAAAATCCACATTCATTGAAGAGCCTTGCTAACATGATAAGACTGTCCAGCATAAGTGAGATACAGCTAGACATCAGTACCCATTAACACCCTGGAGCACATGCATGGAATGTTACTTATGAGCAGTGTGATCCTGAAGCAGTTCCTTACCTTCTCTGGACCTCCATTTCTTTATTTCTAAAATAGGAGAAAATTTCATGTCCTGCCTGCCTCATAGGCTCTGGTAATGGAGGTTGAGGATGAGCTTTGTAAATTACAAGGTGCTATTTATCTGTCATTGAAGGATGTTGTTCTTAACACCTGAATGGAGCATAGGACATAAGTATGTTTTTATGGGGGCAAAGAAGAGGCAAGCCCAGGTTTGGTCATAGGTGGGGCAGCCATGGGTGGATGGTGGCAAGGGGATACGTTGCGCAGAGGCTAGAGAGGACTGAATGTGCAGAAGAACTTATGGAGGCTGAGCAAGGGAGGCAAAAAGCCTTCAACCAAAGATGGGGACACAGAGAGAGCAAGGAGCTACTGCAAGGCAAAGCATCTAATACCTTTAGGCCTCTGCAGAGGCTGTTCCCTTCCCTACCTCTCTAGCCTCATCTCCTTTGGGAAGACAAATTTCCAGGAAATAAGCCTCCCCAGGAGGCTTCTGCCCAGGCTTTTGTAGCGCTTTGTACATCTCATCACTCCTCAGCCCACCATTTTGTAGGTGGTTATTTGCTTATCTCTTTTTCTCATGAGATTATAAGTTTGAGTGTTTGCTTTTTCTCTGTAATTCCTGAGCCGAGTGCAGGTCTGGTGTGGAGGAGGTGCTTGAGGAATATCTGATGACTAGAAAGGAACTTTCAGTCTCATCTTTGCTGCCTCATTTACTCTAAACATTCTGGCCTTGGCATTGCCATGGAATGTGCCTTGTCAGGTCCTGCTTCTGGCCATTTTCTACTCTATTCCCCAACATGGAGTACCCTATCTCCCCTTTCTGTTTCATCAGTCAAAATTCCATATGTCTGTTAAAACCAAGTTCAGATGTCCACTTCCTCCCTGAAGCTTTCTTGGGACACACCTGCCAGCTACCAAATACTTGCCAGATTCAGTAGGAGAGGAACTTCTGCTTGGGTCCCACTTTTCTTTTCTTTGGTGTGAAGGGGTTGAAGTAGATAATTGTGTGGGCTTCTTCAGTTCTACCATTTTATAGCTCCGGAACACTCAGGATTTGTTTAGAATTTAATCTACGCCAGGCCCTGCACCATGCACTAAGGATACAGAAGTAAGACCAGGGACACTGAAGCTAGCGGAGAAGTCAGACATGCATGGAAGCCATGACAGTACACCATAGGACATATCATGCTAGAGCTATGTACAAAACACAGGAGCTCAGCAGAGAGGAAGCAGCTCTGTCTCAGGTGGAGAATGGGGACAAGGAAATGGAGGGTGTGATATTTGGACGAGTTTTGAATGATAATTAGTAGCTCACCGTCTGCAAGCAGAAAAGGAGCTCATTCCAGTAAGAGGGAAAGGGATATATAAAGACATGGAGGCAAGAAAACAGTTCATTTGTTCAGGCTGATGCAAAGGGCGTGAGGTAACAGAAATCAGGTGGGATGGGCAGAGTGCTCACAGGGGTGCAAGGGTGGTAGAATGCAGTAAATGAAGTTTAAAATGTAGGTCAAGGTCTTGAACAGCAAGAAAAGTTGAACCATTACCCTGAAGGTAATGGGGAGCCATGGAATGTTTTTGAGAGAAGGCATAATCTGATACATAGTTGAATACTTATACACTGTAAGTATTGTTTGTTATCTTTGTATATGTACTTGCCTTTATCCTCCATAAATCTGAGCTCACAATGGACAGGGGCTATTTATAATCCTCCAGCAGTTGGCACAAGCCCTGCCATGTGGTGGGCTCCAGTGTGTTGTGGAGCTGATAAGCCCCCTTACACACACATACATACATCCCCTGGAGCCAGCCCTCCCAGCCTGTGGCTGAGCCTGAGTCTACCCTTGCTCAGAGGCCACACTCATGCTTTGTCTACCTGCCTATTCCTTCTTCCTGTCTGATTTCATCCCCTCTGCTGGGGCATTTTGGGCTTATGCTGTGCCACTGTTGTGCTATACAAAATATGGGGCCTCAGCTTTGGTCATCAATGCCATGACCCTGAGCCTGAGCTCTTGTGCCCAGGTGTTGCCCCTGCCGAGGGACCCTATCTTAAGGGTGGCCCAGTATCCAATGATGTTGACAGGCTTCCACCAGCATGTGAGAAGAAAGTGACATACTGTAATTATCCACGGAGATGGGAGAAAACAAAGATTAATTCTGAGTCAAAACATATAATTTTCCTTTAAAACCAGAACTGCTCTTTCACTTAAGCTGTTTGATGCTTGGGTGGAAAATAATACAAAAAAAGGGAAATATTTCAATCCCAAATTAGAGGTCAGAGTCTTGTATCCTCCTGGGAATTCATGTTTAAGGATTACTGGCCAATCAGGAGCTAAGTGGTGCTCATAGTTTGATGAGGCAGAGGTGTGTGCATAGGGAGGAAGTTATTATTATTTTTCTTTTTTTTTTTTTTGAGACGGAGTTTCGCTCTTGTTACCCAGGCTGGAGTGCAGTGGCGCGATCTCGGCTCACCGCAACCTCCGCCTCCTGGGTTCAGGCAATTCTCCTGCCTCAGCCTCCAGAGTAGCTGGGATTACAGGCACGCGCCACCTTGCCCAGCTTATTTTTTGTATTTCTAGTAGAGACGGGGTTTCACCATGTTGACCAGGATGGTCTCGATCTCTTGACCTCGTGATCCACCCGCCTCAGCCTCCCAAAGTGCTGGGACTACAGGCATGAACCACCGTGCCCGGCTTATTTTTCTTAATTTAAGGGTAGGTGCATTTAGCTCAAGTCATCGAAACTCTGAACTCATGAGGAAGGAGCTCTCTAGATCTTTTCTGAAGAGGGCTCCACAGCTCAAGGCAAGGAAGTACCATGAACAGTTAAACTCAGGCCCTGAGATTTCCCCTGTATCCTTTAGATCTGTGTCACGGTTCCATTCTTCCCCATCTCCAGGAACTCTTCACTAGTAGACACTGAACACACTGCACTGCAGGGTGAGGGCCTGTGCTCCAGTCTCGGCTCTGACCACGTGACTCTGACCAGCTGCTTCTGCTCCCTGAGTCCCCATGTTCTCATCTGTATTGTGAAGAGAGACTAGAGGATCACTAAGGTCTCTCTGAGTGTCAGCACCATATTGTTGGTATATGACAATGTAACATGCAAGAAAATGATTAAGGATCAAGATAATTTTATTTAGACAGAGGACTTGAAATAGGCAATCCCCAAATTAACTTGTAAGATTCTAATACTTATTTTGAGTTTTATAAAGGTTTAAAGGTTTAAGAACTTTATTTTTTAGTGTATTTATTTATTTATTTCAGAGATGGAGTCTCACTCTATTACCCAGGCTGGAGTGCAGGGCATGATCTCAGCTCACTGCAACCTCTGCCTCCTGGGTTCAAGTGATTCTCTTTCCTCAGCCATCCGAGTAGCTGGGATTATAGGCATATGCCACCACACCTGAATAATTTTTGTATTTTCAGTAGAGACAGAGTTTCACTATGTTGGTCACACTGGTCTTGAATTCCCGACCTCATATCTACCCATCTCAGCCTCCCAAAGTTCTGGGATTACAGGCATGAGCCACTGTGCCCGGCTTAAATGTTTAAGAACTTTTTTAAAAAA